ACAGACACACACACACAGACACACACACACACACACACACACACACACACACATAGAATAATCAAAGAAAATTTCAAGCTGCCCTGAAACTATGTTTAAATTCAAATAGGATGATGGATATATATTCCCTGGATAAGAAATCATCTTATAATGATTTCTGTATTTCTTTTTTATATGGTCTCAAATTATCTGTAGAATTAATATCACTATAAAAAGATACACAAAACGTGACTAAAACACATTAACAGTCTATCACTTAGGTGGTTATATTTTTAAAAGACTTAAAAACTCAGATTTACCTGTGTGAGAATAATTTCCAAACTTGAGAAAAAACTTCATTTTAAAAAGAAATCATGAAGTAACAAAATTTTAAATTAAAAGAATACTTATTTACTAGTAGACTGTTTTATCGAATTACAGAATATCATGAGCAATCGGCCCTCTTTATTTCAAAACAACATATACCCCTCAGAAGCGTCTGTATTTGTACAAAAGATGTACAAATAAAATAGCTTTCTTTCAGCCTTCTCTTAGGAACAACTTTAAAAGGTCAAACTTCTCTTAATCTAACAATAAACAAATTATGCAAAACCCACCACGTTCCAAAAACAAACGTGATGGAGCTGGCACGGCTAGCAGGGACCTGGAGGACAGACACTTACTAGTAGGTACTACAGTGTTCACTGGAATCTTCTGTGCAGATTTCTGAATGGTCAATGCTGAGGAATGGGAAACTGTGGTCCCTTGTTTTCCAAGGCCTCCTGATGGCTGCTGGACTACCTAAAACAAAGAGAACTGTCAGTCATTCAAGCAAACCTGCATTAGGAAAGGAAGAAGATTTCACTTTTAACAACAGCTTGTGCTTACCCAGCTGTACATACTATATACTCTTATCTTAGCATAAGAAAAATGCTTACTGAAAATTTTTATTTGTATATAATAAAATTATCTCATTCAAAAGTTTAAAAAATAACTATCTGGCATATTTTATACTATTGTTATTAATGAACATTAGTTATACCATCTATATTAATGGATTTCATTTTTGGCAGATTCATATACACATATAACATTCTTGGGTAATTTCCACTCCCATCACTTCTATTCTCCCCCCAACCCTTCTCCCCCTTGCTCCCCTCTTAAGTCTTCTCTAAAGACTTTCATGTCATCTCCCTTTTCTTTGTTATTTTAAGAGTTCACATATGAAAGAAAATATGGGGGCCAGGGATTTAGCTCAGCGGTTCGGTGGCCTGCCTTGCAAGTACAAGGACCTGAGTTCAATCCCCGGTTCCGAAAAAAAATATGAAATTTTTTTAGTCTGGCTTATTTCCCTTAACATGATGATCTCTAGTTTTGTTCTTCTTTATGGCTGAGTAATATATATATATTTTTTCTTTAATCATTCATTTGTTGACAGGCTCACAGGCTGATTCCATAGCTCAGATATTGTGAACTGGGTTGCAATAAACATGATATGTAGGTATTTCTATGACACACTATTTTTAGAGAGAAGTTCAAATTTATAAAAACTTCCGCATGGATCCTATTTTCTCTTTGTAACTTATGGTGGAAATTTTAATATATGCAAAAGTACCTATACTCTTACCAAGGTTAAAGAAGTCTTCAACAATCAAGTTCATCCTCTGTCCACTTCTCTGACACTCTCAACTATTTTAAAACAAATCCCAGATATATCTTTTGAAAGCTATAAATATTTCAAAATATATCTCTAAAAGATATGAGCTTTTTAAGAGCTGCTTTTTTTTTTTTAAGATATCTTCCTACACCATCTGAAAAGTGACAATGCTAAAGGCATTCTCCAAGATAACAGGTCAAGAAATCCAATGAGGGTTGGGATAAAGGAAAAGAAATTAAAGTAATAACAGGGTTATTACTTTTTAGCTTCAAAGAAAAAGAAAAAACCAGAATAGCAGAGTGTTAGTTTTTTCAATTCAAAGAAGAAATCGTCACCATGAATTTAAGCTAGCTCTTGACAGCAAACCATTCAGAATTACTTTAAACCCTACACGGTTAATATAAAGAAGTTATGGGCCAGCCAAGAGAAAGGCTTCTTAACAGAATCATTAGTGTACAATTTATTCTGCTTTCTAATTATTTGTATATAAAATTTAAAAATCAAGTGTGCACTATGAAGAAAAAAAAAGCAACAACACAAAATAACTTATAAATAATCCTATAGGAACTAATCCCCTTAGAGAAGAAATAGAAGTTGGAATAATTCAATTGCTATCATTCTTTGACAACAGAAAAGAACTATTCTAGAGAAGAAATGTATGTTAGAATAATTCAATTGCCATTATTCTTTGATAACAGAAAAGAACTCTTGGAAAAATAATGCATTTCAATGAGGCTGACATCATATTTATTTCTTGAAAATTCCTAGGGATCAGGCTTAACATATCTGAAGTAATACACATTTAAAGTACTGTTTTTGCACTCAGACTGAAACTCGAGAGAATGCAATCAACAACTTGGACTTATTTCCCTATTTTTCATAGGTTTTTTCTTGATACTCTTTATTAGGCATTGTTTTCAGCATTTTAAATAGGAAGGATAATAATAAAATATTATTATAAAGTTGTTTAGCAGTGAGTCTTCATACTCTTTTGATAGGTACATGAAAATATAACAGTTTTGAGCTGAGATTTAACAACCTTCCATCCCCATCAGTACTCATCTTAATTACTCAAACACCTGGGTAGCCTATGTACCAAATCTAAAAAATATAGGCAGCACACTCCTGCATACTAGCCAAAAACAAAATAAAACATAATGAGTGATAACATATAAGAGAATTAATTGGTCTTCTTTCCAAGAAATGACCATAAAAAGTCACATTATTAGGTAATTTATGGAGACTGAAATTGTTTTAGAGAAACAAAAACTGATCCACAGTACAGACATTTGATCTTACATGTCAAGAAAGAGAAAAGCTAGCATACTGCTTAAAAATTAAGACCTTAACTAGGTGCAGTAGTGCATCCTGTAATCCCTGCACTTTGGGAGGCTGAGGCAGGAGGATCACAAGTTCAAATCCCACCTGGGCAAATCAGTGAGATTTGTTCTCTAAATAAATAAAAAGGGCTGGGAAAATAGCTCAGTGCAGAGCACCCATGGGTTTAATACCCATTATCCCTTAGCCTCAAATTAAGTTCTTTATTTACTTCCTCCAAAAGAAACTTTGGAATTAAGGAAAGAAAGGCACAGTACACACATTAGCCTTTTCTCTCCGCATAACAAGGAACTGGTATTTCAGTAGTTTATAAAATCTACTAATTAATTTCATTAATTATGATCTGGCTAGCTGACAAGAAATGATTCTTACATTCTACCCAGAAAAAGGAACCAAAGAAACAAGGACGAATTAAACAAACAGATGGAAATACCCTTACTGTATGATTCCATTTCCACTGAGTTCTAGAGAAAGCAAAACTAATCTATAAAGTAATCAGATAGTGAAGTGACTGTCTCTGGGAAGATGAGGCTGCAGACTGATTGAGAAGAGGCATGAAAGAATGCTGAAATGATGGCAGTATTAAACTATTCTGATGAGCTTAAAAATACTTTTCCAATGGTACACGGAAAACGTGTGTGTCACGGCATGTAAATTTGGTCTCAAGAGAAAAAAATAAATATTTAACTATAGGTAGTCATATCTATGTTTAATTATTTAGGAAGGTTTTGAAATTAATCAAAACACACTGGAAATGTCTCTAGCTTTATTTTCCATAAATTCTAATGTATTCTCACAAAACTTAAAATAACATTCAAGAAAATTTAAATAAACAAGCATTAATCAACTTCTAGATCAAGACTACTGTTACAGGCCATCGCAGCTTTCCTGAGAGCCCACCCTGCTTCCTCCAAGGTGCACTTTTAGCTTACTTTCTCCACTATCACTCAGCCCAAGCTCGCTCTGCAGAGCCAGATTCTCCCTCACTCTTCACTTTTACTTTTTCAAATAAACTCTGTCACTGCTTTTTGCTCATTTTATTCAGTTCTTTATTTGAAACAAGAAGAACCTGGAGTCTAACTGCAGAAGGAGAGGTGAGCAACCCAAAACCTGATCGTGTTTATTTGGTGAGCTACTTTTAGAAGGAGCTTTCAACAATAACGTGGTATAGCCAGCTAGGAGTAAAAGTCAGATACTGGAGAACAAGGCTCTAAGCAGAGCCAATAGGACCTCTCAGACCTCACCATCACTCAGATTTCACCGACTTCTCCACTAGGCTGTATTTTTAGTGAGTGGAAAAGGTTTGATTTTGACAATCCACAGTAGAAACAGCTTTACTACTGCAATACAGTTTGGGTTGGTTCAGTAAGAACTGGGAGGTGGTTCAGAGATGGGCATGGGATAGTACTGTAAATTATGAGACCATTCTTCAGTTACAGCATTTCTGCCTAATATGAAGTGGAACGAAATCCTTTATGTAAAGACTTTCGTGATTCTTTACTGCAGGAAAAGCTCAAAAACTAAGAGAATGGCCCTGTCCTGGAACCCCCACTCGTCTCTCAGAGGCATGTGAGTCTCTGATCTGTCTGATGGCAGCGGAGGTCTCTTCTACCTACCTCCTTAACTTCCCCAGTCAATAAATCAATTATAGCCTTATAAGAAGCTATGCAAATGAACAATGTGCTTTAAAAAGGGAAGGAAGGAAACCTCCCTGGAAAGGTCATTTCCCCTTCAGAAGAACCAAATGTGGGGCTTTCATACTAGTAGGGGACTAAGAATGCTGCCTGACATGCTAGCTGCTCTTATCACAGAGGTAAAGAGGTATATTAAGTTCTTCCTAAATATACTCATGTCAATCCATCTTCCAAAGAGGGAGAAGCACAAGTGGGACTCGTTTCAGCTGTCAGTCAGCCCTGGGTGTCCAACATAAGCTACAAAAACTTCAGATGGCGCCTCAGACACCTATAGTCCAACTGCTGTACATTGCCTGTTCTGTGTTCAATAACTGGGACCCAGAGGAGGGACAAAAGAAAAAGGCCAAGATTATAGCTATCATAGTTGGCAATGCTTTAAAATCACACAGGCCATCTAGGGAAAAGCCCAGGGACAACCATGGGAAAAGCTCTTGTTTCCTGGGCACGAGACTGCACCACACCTCTGCCTGGGCTCTGCTCACGTGAGACAGCTAAAGCGCCTGACTCATGCAACTGGAGGTTTGACTGTTCCCGCTCCCAGAGGGACTAGACCAGGCAGACCCCTTCTTTCCTGCTCTGATGACTGAAGAGGCCCAGGGGAACATGCAATGCCCCTGTTCACAGACACTGCCATCTCCTCTGAGGAGCCCCAGGTAATCTTAGCCATCATGGGTGAGCCAATTCATTCTGTTCTGACTTACTTCTCTAGAAAACCCTCCTCTTCATCTACTGACATAGTTGGGGTTGATGAGTGAGAGATTCTTTGCACTATACTAACAGAAACTGGAATTCCTAACTCCCCATCAGGTCAGAGATAGTCCAGAGACAAAAGGTCACTCGTGGTTAACAATGGAATGGCTCAGTAAATATCAGACCATGCTCTTAGACACCACTGACGTTATATAAAAACTTACTCTACCATTAACTCTGCTCCTTTGATGCCTACAGGCCCATAAGTTAGCCACTCTTGTGAACAAGTGACCTCCCAGGCCTATGCAAGCAGTTAGAACATAAGTGACATGCCCCTCCAAAATCGTGAGGAAGTACGGTTCACTGATGGGAGCGGCTCTGTCAATTAACTAGAAAATACAGGCAGGAAATTCTACAACTCC